AACTGTGGTGCTTTGCTATGTGCTGCAGATTATGCTGACAGGGTCACCTAAGGAGTTGAAACCTGCTCTGCTTGACAAACTATGTGACAACATCATTTCTTAATTAGCCTTAGCATTGTTTTCTGCATTATATGTTCAGTAAAAAAAAAAAAAAGTATAGATGTATATGTTGTAAAACACACATAGCACCATATCTAGAGTTATATCATGAATATTCTAAAACAAACCCTAACACTATGCTGTATTGTTTTACCCAGTATTAGTACACCTGAAACACTATTACACTATTAATCACTATTAAATTGACTAAATGGAGATTGAGATGAAACCCTGCTGTTTATTTAAATAAAGTAACTTTTTAATGTTTGAGGTGGTTAATTCTGCCATAAAGCTTTTACTATAAAATCACTAAAAAATGAGTTGCTATGGAAGGTTTGGCCTGCCTTTTGAGTGTATATAATATTCATGAAAGAGCTTCTTTTTCAAGATAAAATATTTAGACTGATTGACCATGTGTTTCTAATGACTTTTACCTGCCGAGGATGTAACTGGTGTCTGAGCATGTAGACATGGAAAGGAGCGAGACGGCACTGTTTCTGTTGGAGTGTGACAATCGCAGGCATCCTGTATCCGACCTTGATGAGGGATTTCGTCGGGGTACACTTCCACCTGGCAGAGGAGGCAGGGATGACGTTGGGGAGGTCGAGAAGACCAGGGTGCCTTGAGGACTGCAGCTCAGACTGCTGCGTGTAGGGATGGGTACACTGGGTGACAGACATTGGACCATGGTGGGCAAGGAGCAGGGATGACATCCTCTAGGGACCAAATCGCAATTGGAGACATCTTCATCTGAGAGGGAACCATCTGAGGATTGATAGGAAAGTTTGAGCTAAAACACTGCAATAAGATTATTATTATTTTGGAGGATGTCTAACTATTTGGAAAAAACTGCATGTTCCCAGACTTCTCTTAGCAAAATGTGTTTTGCCTGTGTATGCAAAACACATCCGCTAACACTTGAAGACATTCATATTTCTCATGCAGGTACCTGCTTGCAAAGCTGAGGCCATTCCTTCCAAACATTCAAATGCTTTGAATGTTCATTCCTGCTGTTGCGAGGATACAAAAACACTCCAGTCCAAACTTGTTCCTGTGCGCTTGATGATCTGTTTGCCTCACTGTGGTGATGGGCACTGGCCAGACAATGGCTTCTGCGACTGATGTTACATAATAATGACTAATGTTCATACAGAAATAGTGATGTCTGGCTCTGACTTTAGGCAGCAATACTGTGTTTTGCAACCACTGCATATAAGTTCTGTCTTTTACTGTCTTAATGTCTGCAATCATTTCTTTTACACGTGCTAGTCACTACAATTCCTAGCACCCATAAACAAACATCCAAACATCTATCAAGAAATTTGTGGAACAGGAAATCCATTTATATGCTTTGTTTACTCTTGTGTGCACTTTCTGAGCAGCTCTGAGTGAACAAACCACCGTACCACCCTAATGTGTGACTACTTGGTAGGGCTCTATGTGTCTGTAAGCAGGGTGTGGTGCTAGTCTGGGCAGTAATCCCAGAACAGCAATTATCCCAAGGTTAAAGAAAAAATTCAAAGGGAGGGTAAATTTCCAAATCCTCAGGCTATATGTACTATTTGTTTTATGAGGGTGACTGTGGTTTAAATATCCTCAGAGTCACTCTTCAGGTTGAAAGAAAGAAAACAAATCTCTAATATATTGTAGCTTCACAGTCGTACTGTACCTGTGGGGGTGCTGATGCATGAGGGACTTTTGTTAACCTCAATGGGTTCAAATGTTGGATCTAGATCCAGCATGAGCTGGTTGAGATTATCCATGGAAATGTCGAGGTCATCGTGGTTGCCACTGGGTTCCATGAGACTGGGATGTTGATGGAGGGTCTCCTGGGCAGGGTCCAGGCGGATGGTTTGACCCACTCTCAGAACATGATTGGGTATGATGTGGGTCATGCCTTTAGCTGCAGGCATCATGTTATATCAGGTCACTGTTTTCTGGGACGACTAAAGACAGACACAATGGAGAGAGATCAGTTACACTGTCCTTCATGGAATGACAGGTTTCCCTTTTCCTCTCGCAAAACAGAGTAAGGATAACCTTCTTTTACTGAATCACTTTCATAGAAGAGCATGACTTTCTAGCCACTCTTTAGTAGCAAATGTATCATCATATGTAACATCATTCTCAAGTTTTTCATTGTTAATTGATGATAGATGCAACAACCACTAAACTGTGTGGTGCATTAACATTTGCAACTTAACATTTTGAAATAAATCTTTAATAACAAATAAAATGATAAGATGGATAAAATACTTTTTAAAGGTTGTCCTCTGACATGTTTAGGCCCTGGCAGATGTGGGATTTTCCTGACATCAGGCCCTAGTTCAACCCTGACATACACTTGAAATGAGCAGGAAGATGCCTTAAAATTGTTGTTATAGTTCAAAATCACAATAAGTAGCATTGTACCTGAAGTGTGTAAGTCATACATATATCCAGGACTTTTCAGGAGTTTCTCGATCCGTGCAAAAACACACTCAATGAAAAATAACACGAGCTGGAACGGCTTGCATCAATGCTGATATCAGCATGAATAAGTAGGGTGTGTCACACATGGGATGATCAGCTCATACTGTGTCTCACTTTTCTGTACTTCAGATGAGGTGCAGTGCTTTATGAGTCAACCAGGTGGTTACCATGACTACAGTAGTGTTTTCCTATAACTAAAGCAACTAAAACTTTTTGGCTGAATGTAGCAGTCAGGAAAGTACTCTTAAAATATGCTTTTTTCAGGAAAAAAAACAAACTTATTTTACTTTTGAGAAACACCCTCTAGAATCACATAGCTTTGATTTAGAGGATAGGATTTCTGAATGGGCTGTCTTACAACTTTTGAGTTATATTTGTTTTTCATCCTAGAAATCAGAGCATGTATGAAACATCAAAAGCTTTGTATGTGCCTGTCAAAACCTTTTGCCATATTTATGTTAGAACAAATTAATGACGAACAGGTAGAAAAATACAGAGCTTTTCCAAACATTAAGACCAGATTGAATTTCTGCTTTTACTACAAGTGATAGCTTGTGCATTCAGTTATATATCATAAATCAGAGAAAAGTCCTCTTACCTTATTTTCTTCTGGTCAGGATTTCTACCGGTGCAATGCTCATTAACTCTCGGGACTCCTTACTGTTTTACTTGGACATTTAGTGTGTTGCTTGCTTTTATTAATGAAATCCCAACCCTTTTTCCTGTAAGCCTATCAGCTGTGAGGAACTGATTATGCAATCTTAGCAGCCGGAAGTTTATGACTGTATCACACAGCTACTGTATGACTAACACTGCTGAGGTTATAGTATATTCAAAGAAGTTTTACATGTGTGATGTTATACTCATTATTCTGTTTGCATGTTTGCATGCAAGCAAGAAAATGTATAGCATCTTTTACCTTTTACCAGTGACAAATTGCTCCAAAGACAAGTTAAAAGGAAATCAAGTTTAATAAAAAAGGACAAACATAAAACATCAGATAATATATACAAGTGGAACAGACAAGTTTAAAGGGTCCTAAGCTACCTAATGCTGGTTTAACCGATGGGTCACTCGTCAGGAGTATATTTGAAAACTATGGAGCTAACTGGACCTATCTTTTATTATTGTTTATTTGTCTTAAAGAATTAACACAGTCAGGGCTTCTATTTACCAATAACCTCCTAAGATGTTCCTGCTTTGCAAATGTTTGCTCTGATAACATATATGACCTAATGTCCATGTGACATATTTATTACCTTTTTGATGTTTTTTGCCTTCTTCTTCTAAGAAAGATTCTGCAGGTTCGCTTGGGACAGAAGTATCAGTAGTAGTGCAGGAATTAATATAGCAAGAAAAAATGTCTTAACACTCTCAAATATGGTCCTGAGGTTAAATCTCTGTTTTAATATTTTGCATTTTACTTGTATTTTTTCTAGAGCTCGGAGAACTGCTTTAGCTCAGCTGGTTCATTACGCACCCTACAGTATGTACAGAGGCAAAGTCCACAACAGGACACAAACCTGCTACCTTTACACTCATTTCCCTGTTTTCTCTTCTTTCAGTTTCCTGTATATCAGCTGTCCTATCCAATGTAGACAAAGGTAAAACATAGTAGAAAATAAATAAAAAGTAAAGCATGTTTTTTTTTAATGGAAATAAGGAGTTCTTTAGAACCTTTGCTGACAAAGTGTGTCATGGTGCTCCAATAACTCATTATCTGTGACTTTCCTCAGTTATAAGAGATTTAAGATTTACTTTATTGATCCCTGCAAGGGGAAATTTCAATTTTTACACACTGTAGTCATGCAACACACACATAGGCTGAAGTATATACACACAAACAGGATCCTATGGACATGCACTAATGGAGAGATGTCAGAGTGACGGAGCGGCCCACAGTGGTGGGGAGGGGGTTTGGTGCCTTGCTCAAGGGCACCTCTGCAGTGATCAGGAGGTGATCTGGCACTCCAGCTACCAGACCAACTTCCATACTTGGTCAGCACCAGGACTTGAACCGGCGACCCTCCGGCCTTGTGCAATCACATTTTAAAGGGGAATTCTGGTCATATTAAACCAGCGACTCATTTTTACTAAGAACATCCGATAGCCTATATGTTTCTCTTTAGTGCCAGTCCACTGACAAACAAGACATTTACAGTAATGACACTCGTCTAAGCTGGTCCAATCAGTTTGTTTGTTGGTGGTATTGTGTTACCTTGGTGTTTCATTGGCTTAGCTTGAATCCAGCACAATATTCAAATATCACACATCAGTTTAATATTAAAGGGTTTTGCTGATAATTGGATTATGTCTAAAACTCTGCAGTACTCTGTTATCCCTCTCATTTGCACTTCACTCCAAAATCAATTCCTTTCATACAGTATTTTACGGCTGATAAAATCAAGAAAACTGAAGTAGCGCCAAAGTGAATTTATACATCCAATTTTGTTTACTCTAAATGATTTGTTGTACATCAAATTGTTGAATAAAAATTACTGAAGCTTTCTTTTTTAACCAAAATGATACTGCCCAAAGTTTCATCTTAACCGACGAGAAACAACAATTAAAAACAAAGCACTTAAATGGCATACATATATCTTTGCTATATACAAAAATGAATTTTTTTTTAGACATTATTCATAATGTTCAACAGACCATTTTGAGATGTCCATGTGTTCGTAGGCTTTTGTTCGTATTAAAACAGCTTTAAGGTGAAAATGTGGTGGTGGTCTCAGTGTCTGTGGCCCCTGAGCTCCTCCTCCTGCCGAGGGTATACCTGAAGAACCTCTCCTGGCTCATGCAGCCAAAGTCCTTCAACAGCTTCAGCAGGTCATTGCGAAACTTCACACCGATAAAGGCATAGACAAAAGGGTTCAGGCAGCACCTAAGGAAGGCCACACACTGAGTGACATCAGTGGCGTAGAGAAGGCGGTTATCATAGCCACAGTCATCAGTTCCTCCTTTTGCAGTAACAACTGTGCTCCAAAATAAGACCAGGTTGTAAGGCAGTTGGCAAAGCAGGAAGACGGCTACGACAGCGAGAATCACCTTAATCGCCTTGTTGCGTTCAAAGTTACGAGCCTGGCAAAGGGTCTGAACAATGCGGCTGTAACAGAAGCTCATGACCAGGAGTGGAAGGGCAAAAGCCAAAACAATCTGGCTGGTCTGGAGGCTAACACGGAGATTGTCAGTAGCGCTAGAGTAAGGGCTGCAGGTGTTGTTTTTGACGGTGGTACAGGTCATTTCTGGTATGGAGAAGATCAGTGCCATCACCCATATGACTGCTGATGACACCTTGCTAAGAAACATTGCTCTGGAGCGGTGGCGATGAGCAGAGACTGCCTTGGCGATAACAAAGTACCGGTCCACACTGATGAAAGAGAGAAGAAACATGCTGCTGTAGAAGCTGACCTTGTAGATGGTGTGCATGGCTATGCAAGGCCCTAGGCCCCAGCACCCATTTTGCCATGTTGTTGGCTGCCCAAAAGGGGAGCGACAGAGAAAATAAAAGGTCTGCAAATGACAGGTTGAGCAGGAACACATCTGTCATGGTCTTGAGACGCTTGAAATAGAGGAAGGTCAGGATTACAAGTAGGTTGCCAGCCAGCCCTAAGAAGCAGATGATGGAGTAGAAGGTTGACATGAACCAGCGGCGGAATTCGCGGTTCAAATCCTTTTTGCAGATCTGAGGAAAGGCATCATAATCCATAGTGCCGTTGTAGTTATAATGGTCATACATGCTGGCTGTGTTATTCTCATCCTGAGACAAGCAAGACTGCAAAGACAGATATAATAATCAAATGAAAGCAATTGCCAAGATACATCATTCATTCATTAATACAGTTAAAGCTAGACTTTAAATTAAGGTCACAGTATTCACCATTAACTAGTTGCTTATTAGCATGCTAATTAGTAGCAAACTGGCTGCTTATTAGTCATTTTTTAGCACCTATTAGTACCTTATTCTACATGACCATAGTCTATAGCTAATATGCCACTAACTAACTAAGAGTTTGCCTTCATATCCCTCCTAATTACTGCTTATTTATACCAAGTTAGGAAGTGGACGACCATGAATTATGATCTTACTACGTGTTGCTTAGTATGGCCCCTTATAATGAAGAAGTAGGATGATTAAACAGATCAGTCCCAATGAGATTACAAAGCAAAGCTTAAAGAGCTACCTGCCCCCCTTACATTTTACCCTTTGATAGAGCTTTTCAGACCGTACTTAGCGGAAATTGTGCATTTTAGGGGAAAGGTTGTGGTTAGGTACCTGCTGCTTTCACCTCTAAGTGAATACAAGTTGGTGCATACTGTAATCTCTTGTATTTTGTGATGTAAAAATATGTTACACTTTTGTGTTTGTCTCACCTTAAATCTCATTATCCATATCAGCACAGCAGGAAGAAGCTTTTGGAGATCTGAAAAAAAATGTAGTCATTTTTTAGAAACCAAGCACTTTTATAGTTTTATCATCTCCTTCCACCAATCATTCACCATGAAGAAAATTATGATATCCTCGCAATTAACTTATTTATATGTTCAGAATACTTCTTTAGGGTTATGCATTTACACAATGATACCAATGTACAGATAACAATAGAGCAGACATAACTGAAATATCAACAAAATATTACGGAAAGCTAGGGGTAGGCAGAAAAGTGAAATCTTAACAAGGGTTAAAATGACAATATTAAGAGACAGTGTCATCAGCATACAAATCAGACATTGCAATTGTTATTTGAAGTGGTAACTAGAGAGTGATGGAATGATAAGTTCAAAGGCAACTTTGACCTCATAGGGACAAGCTACAGACATATTTACAAAACAAGGGTTCAAACTGACGCAGCATGTAGCCTAAGTATCCCTAATATAACTACCAAGTAATGGTTAAACTGTGGATGGTACAGTACCCAACAAAATACATCTTTTCGTCTGACACTACCTGTCTTTGCCCACAGCTTAAAAAAAAAAGAAATTACATAAATTGTCAATATCCAAGCCCGACTGGGGAATTCAACTGACGTCATTCGGGTTATTGGATTCACAAAGCTCCTCCACAGCCACAAACGTTTGAATTTCAGTGTATTTATTTGATAGAGACCATGGAATTTTGCTTGGTTTCAATAAAGGGTATGAACTTATATGCTGCATAGACAGGTTGTAGCTGTTGCACATTTCAATTCCTCTGCCCCTCTTTGTCTAACAAGCACTGTGCGGTTAAGACATTATACTATTAGTCATTACATAGCTGTTTCCACACACTACGTAGTACACCTTATTACTAGAACTACCCTTAATAAAAATAGGAGAAGGATAACCATTTAAGTGCTTGCCAACCACTCACTTTTTCTATTTTGAATACTCATATTACAGTACTTGTGACATTTGTGGTAGAAATTACAAGACATCCTGCCCAGATGGCAATACTGTGTTTTTAAATTGGCCCATTAAACTTGACTTCCATATTTTTGTAGTTCACTTATTAGTCACAAGTCATTAATGATCCAGTAACTGATGTAAAATGTGTTTTACATATACACATTACAGACTGTCTTAATCATAAAACTCTAAATAATTTTAACTTGTTCATTATAATCGAAGTGTGTTTTTACAGAAAATTCTAAGCAAAGTTAATTTTATATTAATAAATTGTTATCATTTAGAAGTGACAGTGGAAGTTTTGTGCTGCTCATTATGTAGACTACGAAATAAGAACAGACGTACAGTTTTATATATATATATATAGAAGACAACATCTCAAAACATGTCTGTGGTTCAATCTGCTCTTTCAGAAAGGAACTTTAACACAGGCTTAAAACGAACCTAGCATTGAGATCACTTTTAGGCGCACATGTTCAGTTTAGCATTTTTCACAGGTCACATCTTAATAAACACAATAAGTCTCAACGATCTATTTGACACTGATCATGTGTTCATTCATTACAGCAAGATGACAATCTTCTGATTATTTCAGGTCTACCCGGAGAAGGTACTCACCACTGAGAGAAGTCATGTTGACTGAGTGTACTGTGCTGTAGGTAAAGCCACTAAACAGAGAAGAGTTCATTGCCTGTGGGATGCTGGTTTCCCCTCATTTGAAAAAAAACAACACCTGAAACTTTTTTTTTTTTTCTGTAGCCCTCAAGTATCATGTGAGTTTACTCATACAAACTTGGACTGTCACTAAAGCATGTGTACCATTTGATGTTATTGTACACAACTATCTTGCAACTTTGACTTTAGGAAAAGCAGCATTACTTTGATCTGCTACTTTGTTCAAAGATAAAGTGTATCATAAACTTTACCTAAGTAATAGTACAAAGTATAAATATCAAAAAGTAAAAAGTCATCAAGCACAATCCTATATTTTATATTATGAGATATAATTGATGCATGCATTTATTATTTTAATGTTACAGCTGCCTATACATGCTATGAATGTAAAGTACAGCAGGGGAAGATATAAAACAAAAAATCTTCTTCACACATGTTAACCACGTGAGCTGGCATTCAGTAATTTTCAGCATTTAGTCAAATATTGATTTTATATTTCAAAATTAAAGTGCATCAATAGAGCGTTTCTTTTTGTGTCCTGGACACTTGTTGCACTGGACAGCAGCCGGTTCCTTGCAAAGACTACACTTTTACCCACCTTCTCTAAAGATGTGCACAGACTGCTTTTCAGAGAGATACACACCTGTATCTCTCTGCGGTTGTGGTTTCTTGCTTTCACTTGATGCAGTGCTTACCACATGCTGCAAAACGTCGCAAGCTGCAATGTAGGGGAAACCTTTAACAATTAAATGAAGCACTACCAAATCTGATCATAATCGCATATCACAAGTGGCTTACAGCATTACACTAAAAACTTAAATATGCTTTCTGGTCTAAGTCATTCATATATTCAGGAAGTAATTCTTAGTACTGTAGTGCCCACAAGTGTACCCTCAGGATTGTGAGTTCTGCAGCAAAAACAGGAAATCAAAAATAATTCCACCGCGTTGTACCCACTTCCCTACCTGTCCTGTGCAAAGGACAAATATGCTACATGCAAGCTGACTGTACGCTGCTACAAAGACATGGAGTGCTTTCATTTTTATAATGAATGCACCAAAACTGCTTACAAGTAAACCTTTGATCTCAAAGTAAAATGTCAAAGCACTTACATTTAAAAATGTAATGTTTAAATAATTGTAGTTATAAAGGAAAGCCAACTGAGAACTTTTTCAGGGTAGAAAAGTTTATTGGTATAAATATGAAAAAGGAAATTCCTTTTAAGACTGCATGTTTATGTTGTTCAAGCTCTTTTTTTTTTTTTTTTACATGAAACTCCATGTTTAAGCAAACCTCGTTACACAGTGTACACAATTACGGTACATTTAAAAGTTTTCAGCTGAAAAAATTGCAATATCGATCATAACACAAATGTTCTAAGCATACTGCTTTTGATTTGATTGACAGCTAGCAAACTTCAGAACACTGGAAGTCGAGCATTGTACAGCATTTATGATCACCAATGATTTAACAATGGATGAACTGGGGCTGGACCCAGGACAACCAATACACAAGTATCATTAAAATACTACAAATAAATAACAACCAAAAAAAACTAGCACTAATGACTACAAACTCCTGAGACAATACTGTCACTGTAATACTGATACAGAGAGTAAACAAAGAAACTCCTCCTGCTTCACAAATATGTATTTTAAAAAATCACAACATGCAAACATAGCAATAGAACCAACAATGACACTACAATACAAAAGACAACGTTAAATATAACACTTAACACTGTTTTTGATATGTGACAGCTTTTTTTCATAGAACTGTAAAGTCTGGTCAACTGTGTAGTTGATCTAGGATCTGCCAGACAGTGCAGGAGATATGTATCAATATGTGCTGAAAAGGACTTGTATGGGTTTGTCTAAATGGGAATGAGGCCTGTGGAGAAAATATAGTGGCACATGTAGCAGCCATTGATTTTAGACAGAACCATAACTTAGTCAGGCGGCTTTAAGTGCTTTACACATTCATCTATTCATATTCAGGGCATATCTCTGTGTATTCAAACTTTCACTGGACTGTTAAACACTAAGCCCATCTGAACCCCTCTCGTGTGCTTTGACAAACTGAGATGGAACTGTGCAATAAATGTAATCAGAGGATAAAATCAGGTGTCAGACTCAGTGGGCTGCTCTTGCTTTGCTGGGCCCCTCCGATGGCTCACTAGTCTGAGTATCTTCTGTCTGAGCAGAGGTGGTCTCTGAGCCCGTGTTACTGTCACTGGTGCCCTCCTCCATGGCTCCCTCCGGGACACTCTCCTTGTCCTCTGAGGCCCCCTCCTCACTACCTGGAAGAGTCTCAAGGTCTTCCGAGGCCTTTGGCTTTTCTGTCATAAGGGAAAAAAAATCTGTTGTTAAAAATCATAAAGCCCTAGTACAGAGCCAGTTGGCACTATGGCCCTTTGATTTACACACTTGCAAAAAGTCGCAATAATTGACAATAACAAAGGCATCCAGTGCTTAACATGACATATTGAGGATGTATTTTATAAAAAAGAAAATTTGCCTAACATTATAAATGTAACCTTTAACCTTAGCAAAAAAAAAGTTGTGATGCTTTCCATTAAAGTCACAATATGTGCTACCAACCTAAACCACAAAAGTAGGACATTTTAATATTGATTTCATTGGACTAAGGGACAAATTAGAAGCATGTGTTTCTCACCTTGTGCATCTGTGGTGTTGGATTCTGTGTCCTCGCCTTCCTTGTTGTTACTTTCGCTGAGAGGATTTTGCTGGGACTTGCTGCCATGTGTTGCACAAATATGTTTTTCTTCCTCTGCAAGGACACAGGTGGAGGCCTCTCTTGCACCTCGCTCTCCTGGATCCTTCTCTCGCTCTGACACCCGTTTGCGGGCTGCCTCTTCCGCTGCAGAGATCTCTGCAGAAATCTTCTCCATGTCTACTTCCACCTTCATACAGCAAAGCTTCAACCACAGTAGATGAGGGTTAGAACTGGTGAAAACAACTGATGTACTTAATTCGTTTTCTTGATTACAAAGGGTAGTGATGACCGGACCTGTATATTCATGTCTGCCACAGAACAAAAAGTTACATAAGATATCTTAAGAATGTAACTGAATGAGCGCATGCTTCTCTTCTTAACATCAACAATGCCTCATTTCATGTTCAGTCTTGACATCTCAGTCATAAATTGAATACAATGAAAGCCTTTATAAAGGCTAAATGGCACCACCTATTGTGAAGTGTGGACACTGCATTGAGCCAAGCAGTGCTGCATCTCATTTCAAAACAACAGTTATTATGGGGGCTACAAATTGTAAACGATGACAGATATATGATTGCAGGCACATGTGGATGGAGTTAGCAGCAGCTGGTGGCTGTAAGGCAGACATAGACTGGCACACAACCAGGGCTGCACACTGTTAGGTTAAACATGCAAAATGAAGCTTGCGTGCGAGTAAGTGATGACCAAGCCCCATGTAAAAGATGCCGTACCCTTTTGAGCTCATTTGTAAATGATTCTGTGGCTTCTATGAATTTTCTTTTCTTGTCCTGGTGGCGGTCTTCAATCTGAAGCAACTCAGCCTCCAACTTTCTCTGTAACACAAGACATGCAGGCACCACAGTGATGACATCATAAACCCATAAAAACAAAGCCATTTGTTTGCTTAATGCAACCATTGTGTCAAGAATGGAAGACTTCACCCCACCTGGTGCACCATCAAAGACTGGACTTGGCGTTTTAGGACCTGCATGCGAGCAGTGGTAACGACTGACCGCACATCAGGTACCACGCTCTCACTGAGGATCTCGCTGATCAGGCGGTGGTTGCGTTGGAAACGAGATGCAGCCGAGTGCTTTACAGAAAAGCCGTCGTCATAATCTGAAGACGAGAAGAAAAAAACATCTCGTTGTTTTATGAAATATATTTTTAGACACCTTTCAAAGTGAAGAGATATTTAACAGTGACCATCAATGACTACACACAAATACTAGACAACAGAATGATGCAAGTATCAAGACAGTATTAACAAGGGAGGATATTTCTTAATATTTATGAAGTGCTAGAGTTAGTCAGAGGCCATTTTGTGGAAATATAGCCAAAGCCAAAGCAGGATCATTATTGTAAAATGGACAAGGGGTTCATTAAAACCATTCATTTTTCGACATCTGGACTGCAAACGTTTTTCTTAGTTTTAAATGTATACTCCTTTTCCATTTGAATACAGGATAATGGTGCAGTGAGGTAAAATCAGAATACATTCTATCTGTTTTGAAGACCATAATCATCCCAAGTCCTTTTTTACAAGCTCTGTGGTGACAAAGAGTTAGGTCTAGATGGATTCAAATTGGTTATTTAATTTAATTAGGAGATGCATTCAGAAAAATACAGGACTACATCTTTAACAGTGATTGCAGCTCGGGTTTGGCCGGAATTTGAGAACCATCATTTGTCTCATTTCTAAAAGGAAAATTGTCAATTGCCATCTGCTTTAACTTTTCGACACAAGTTCTGTAAATAACAGCATTGAGAAAGTTATGGTGTGGAAACAGATGTACGTGACAGTTTATAGAGGATTATCATGTCAGATAAAAGTAAATACAAATATTTGATTACACACTGGATTAATTAAACTGGATATCTCATCAAGTGATTTACAAATCAAATGATTTAATCTAAAGCATTCATTACCTGGATGTTAGAAGATAAATTTTCCACTCATATATACTGTCCACAAATATGATACATTAAATAAGGTTTAGAAATTAGTTTTTTTTATTCTGTTTGATTATTAGCCAATTGGTTCCGCTTCTATATTTCCATTTGATCCATCCCATTTCAATTCTTTCCAACACCTGTGGCACTCATTTTTGAAGCAAAACTTTGCTAAATCTCTGCGATACAACAAGTTCAAGGTGGCTAACACACACAAACTATGTGTTGCAGAGCACCCATGTGTATGTGTAACTTGAAACTTTCCAAAGAGCAGATGACTTTGATCTGCCAAGCTGAAAGTTTCAAAACGTACCTGCCGTTGTAGGTGGTC